CTTAAATTTGACTACTTTTAGGTCAACAAAAACACATAACTAGAGAACCATTACCATTTCTCCACTTCAATTTTATTCCTGGCACTTGCAGAAGCCTTTGAAATTGTTACTACTTTATTGTTGTCATGATAGCTTCCTAATAATTTCACTTAATTTGCAGTTTCATGGAAACAACTATGCCAACAGGGGAAAAAAACAAAGTTCTGGGACAGTTATTTCAATTAGAGTTTAGTTCTGTGAACTTGGAGGTTGTTGTCACTGTTTCTTTCAAATAAAACTGGCAGTAAATATAACTGCTAACTTCATAAATAATATATGAAAAATCCAACTTCCTTCTTAGTATTTAGGGGGTGGGAGAGTTCAACTCATCACCTCAGTCCTGTCTACTCACACATTTCACAAAATAGAATGAGCACATTACTATTGTACACAAACTAAAATACTATTAATGGCTTGTTTCGTGCTCAATGGTACTTCAGCAAGCAGGATGCTTTGCAACTCGAACCTGGTTTCTCTCACAGCTTCATTTCTCTACTTTCTGTAAAAAATGTCTCTGATTTAAAGAGAGTGTGAAGCCAAAGCTGTGCCTTTAAACCTAGTCTGTCAAATTTAGTTAACTCAAAATTTGTTACATAGCAAAAAGTGTTAAATAATAGACACTTTTCATTACAAATGAATGGGAGATAAGCACTCAAAAGTCTGAAACTCTAAAAAAAAAAAACATATTACTCAGAAAGCACAGTCCTGTCAAATAAACCTAAAGATAAAGATGTAGAAGATCTACTTAACAAACTGTCATCATCACAAAAGAAAAACCAAAAAACAGCAGTTTCAGCACTGAAAGAGGATGTTGGAAGTTTATTACTGAATTTTCACTCATATACTTATATTAATTATGAAGGAACAATAAAATATTACATCTGGATCATTGTATAGTATTCCCTTTGTATCCAACAATCATATATTCTACAGATACAGTGTCAACAAATGTCACTACATACCTTTTCTAATGTATATCGCATGCTGTCTTCACTATCTGAAGTGTACAAACACGGCTGCTGCTTTTAATTTATTTAACTAGTCCAACAATAAAAGATGGGCTCATTATTGGGTGAAACTGGAGGCAAGGAAATGGGACAGTGGGGAAGAAAGAGGGAGAAAAAAGAGGGAGAGAAGACATGACAGCCAGAGGCCTCAGGGTGGGCCCGGGGGAGACTAGTCACACCAAATGTCTAATAAGAGTAAAGTCAAGGAGAGCTCGTGTGCATGATGCTGAAGTGAGCCTGGTGTCTAATGGTACACTGCTGTGTTTGTGTCAGAGTATGATGTTGTGCGTGGCTGTTTAAATGTGTGTTTTCAACATAAACAGGACAGAAATAACAGAGGTTAAAGCTCATGGCTGACAAGAAACAACCCCAGGCTCCTTCTGGTGGGTAGGAAACTAGCTAACGGCGTTAGCATAGCGACTTCTCTCTCCTCTTTCTGTGTGCCATGGCAGCACAGGCCAACGTCTGAACATGCACTCAAGGAAATACAACTAAAGCTGCCCTTATTAGTGACATGGGTTTGGAGTGAAAGTCAATAAAGATTGATTCACAAGCTAATGTCCAATAATTTTGCCTCATTATTAGTGGCTATATTGACCTTTTGGGAGTTTGAATTAACTCAGATGGACAGTAATACATCAGTGCACATGCTAACCATTTAGCATGTAGTTTAAGTAATGCTAGAGCTAGAACTTATTATTTCAAATTTCCCACTGATATTTTCTGCTCAGCATCAATTGCATATTGTATATCCACATCCAGCAGACACAGTGTCATTAGCATTCATTTGAAGTCAGGTTTTGAGCTACAACAGGTGAGCAGAATAGTAACTCATCTTTTAGCTCTGTTTTGGTCTCCACCAACTCATTAGGACAAAGTCTGCATATTAAGTTGATAATTCTCTGTGGGTTTTTCATTATAACACAGTCATTTGTTCCATCATCAATATAGAGATATTGATTTGTGCAGTTTTACATCTAATATTAATTAACAGTTTTGTCATTTTAAAGGTCAAACTCCCAAAATGTTATTGCAGTCCACTTACATGAAACAATATTAGACCATCACCAAGTGACCACAAAGTACCTCTGGTAGGCTACATACAGTTCATCTGAACACATCCAGCAGTTCCACCTGTAAACTGTACTGGCACCTTTATTCTGTCCAGACCTACGAAGACGTCTACATTTAAAGCCACTGACAGCTAGAACCAAGAATATATATCTGTACGGTGGAGTAAGAGTCTACAGGTCAAAAGTTACTTGAAAAAAACATTTTTAAATATGTGAAATACATGTGGAGTATTTTTCATATGCACTATATATATTATACTATCTAAAGGTTGGTCATGTTTATCTTTTTGGCTTCTAACGGACTTTTTATCACATTAGCACCTGTGGAAATGGTCTGAAACTGATGCACTACACAACACTAATACTGGCTAACTGTACTATAGGTGCAGTTATTGTATTGGACAAGGGTAGGGTACTTAGTGGTTTAGTTAATTTATGGAGAGGTTACCACAGGTTTTGGCGAAGATGTTTTATCATATTTTTCTCATCATCCAGTATCAAAAAAAGTTTCCCTAATGAAACAAGAACCAAAAAATCCAAGCTCAAAGTGCAAAGAATAAAAACCTTCCTTGTACCTTGTTGAATATTTAAAACGCGCTCAACGACTCTCTTGCTAAAAGCACTCGACCTCTAGTGACCAACTAGTGGTACAAGTGCATTTAAAAGTACATTTAAAACCGAAAGACAGATGAAACAAGATCTTTCACCTCAAAAATGAGAGTGAAAAAACTCTCGAATACGTGGTAATAACGAACAAACTCGTCTTTAAAAACAGCAGAATATATGAGTTTGAATACTTGCCACTAGATTTGGAAGGGCTTGGACCAGCTCGACCCTAAACGCAGACAGCCTGTGAGGAATGTGTCGACTTTTTTTTTGGCAAATAAACCTTTGGATTTGAGAAGACTGGAGGCAGTTTCACCTCAGAGTCCACTGCTCATCCTCTGACTCTGCAGCACAGTGTATACATTAGTGTCCAAAATGAGATAGGTGAGCAAAAACATTTACATACTGTATGCAGCGTGGCACGGTGGGAGCAGGACAGCCAGAGGTGAACAGGCTGGTAATCTATGACTGTTTCATCAGAGATCAGGAGGTCAGTGTATTCATTTCAAGAAAGTGCAGAACCCAGCAAGTGTATGGTGGCGTTGTTGTCCTTTCAATGACCAATTAAACTATTTAATAACTGTTATTGGATTCAAGCTTCTTTCCTTATGGTGCCCAACTTAAAATACCCTGTTGTATTGTATGTATCTCCATGATGATTTCAGGCACATCAAAATACTAAGTGCACATTGAACTTGCAAGGGCGAAAACCTTTTACACTCTGCAAACTGTTAAAGCAGCCTGAACCTTCGTCCATCAATAAACACTTAAATAACCACAAAAGAAAAAGTTGTTAAAATTCAATTTAAATAGATAATAGTTTACAAAGGTGTGTGTGTGTGTATGTGTGTGTTTGTGTGTGTGTGTGTGTGTGTGTGTGTGTGTGTGTGTGTGTGTGTGTGTGAGGGGGGATAATCAGACAGACAGGCAGCCAGTGCTCATTGAAGGAGGGAGACAGGAGAGGACGAGAAAGGACTCGCTACATCTCTCGACTTTCCTCAACCTCTCCCGTCCTCCGTCTCTCTCCAGCACTTGTGGTCAGTAGTAAAATTCACATACAGCTAAACATATACACAGAATAAACATACAGAGTGCCAACATTTTACCCCTCAAAGTGGACAAGACAAGAACAAAAAAACATCAACATTTTTCTGTTTAAAAAAAAAAAAAAAAAAAAAAACGGCAAGAAAACAAAGAGCGAAGAAGCTTTGATGGAGACGCTTTTTAAATTAAAGTACCGTTTAGTTTGGGCACCAAAATGCTACATTCAGTATTTGGCTTCAATCTAACATGCGGTGTGGGATGTTTTAAAGATAAAATAAAATGTACATAAGCTGTTCCTGTCTGTTGCCAATTCTGGAAACCAGAGAACTGAACTACACATGAAGGCAAGAGGAGGTAATGCTTCAGTGAAGTTAAAGCATCAGAAAACTGCAGACTTAGCGAAAACTACACAATAATGATTTCTCAAATTGAGTAAATCAGTGTTTCAGTTAGAAGAGGAGGGAAAACCCTGGTGTGTTTTCTTCAAATGGTGATTTAAACTAAAAAGGCATTTTTACATTAAAATGTCACAGTGCAGCTGTACATCATCATCTGAAGACTGTCTCCTACAATGGTGTCCCTCCGTAGGCTGCCAAAGTAGCAAAATATCTGCACCAACACACATGGACACACACACACACACACACACACACACACACACACACACACACACACACAGTGAGTAGACTGTTTCCATTTAACCACTAAAAGCAGATGTCTCATCAAGAGATGAACTTCTGGCCACACACATGCATGCACACACACACACACAGATATTTGGGAAATGATTGAGGTCCTTTCCTAAAGGTTGTGTTTGTGTGTGTTTTCTACTTTTCAAACACGAGGCAGATTGGATGGGAAGAGGATTTTACAGGCTTTTGACCTCTGAACCAATAAACTGTGTGCGTGTGCTGTGTAGTTGTGTGAAGGCAGATCTTCCATGGCTAAATCAGTACAAAATAGAGCATCAAGAGTGTGTTATGTCACTTAAACCCTTCCTCATTTACACTGAAACCTACACACACACACACACACACACACAGGTTTTCTAGCTAGATGGATGTCTGCTCACCATCCCTTCTGCAACCTTGATTGGATTCTGACTGGAGGTTAAAGGCCAGAAACTTTATCCCAATCAATGATGCAAATCCTGGAGACAGGTGTAGGTGGGTGTGTGTGTGTGTGTGTGTGTGTGTGTGTGCGTGTGTGTGTGTGTGTGTGTGTGTGTGTGTGTGTGTGTGTGTGTGTGTGTGTCGAGGTGCAGTATATGAAGATAAGCAGGCTACATGAATGGGCAGCTAAAAACCACAAACTGAAAAAAAACAGTGAGGCTGCAGCACCACTTACTGGTCAGCTACTGACATTACAGTTAAAACTTCAGATCTGAAACCTTTTTTTAAAATCAGGTTAACAATTGAGTCCTCTTTTCCTCCATATTCCCTCTCGATGCTCATTTCTGGAACATACATGTGGAAAGTGGAATATATTGCACTTATTGTAGCACAGACAGTAATATCACCGGTCAAATGTTGCTATAAACAAAATATCAAAAATTTGTTGTGAGAATTATATTTCTTTCCTCGACAAAGGCCATTTCTGACCCTCTTCATCTCCCTACAGTTTGAATCTTTGCATCAAAAAAGAGGATAAAGCTGTTACAAACAGAAAGTAAGTGTGAACAGAAAGCTTACTGACCAGACCAAAATGAAAAAGATGCAAAGAAAAAGGTATGAAAGGACAAAAAAATGTAAAAAAAAAAAAACAAATGCAAAAACAAATGTTTGGTTATGATTCTTATGAAATCATCATGTGTCATCTGACAAAAACTGCAAAATAAAAAATAATATAGCTCTGTAGACATGAACAAAACAGTCTGTAATAAAAAAAGGAATAAAATTAGTAAATAATCTATATCATTACTATCCCACATATTAATCATTATAGACCCCAGTTGAATGTATGTTTTTTCCTTTTTACAAGAAATAATTTTAACTGAACGACATCTCTGCTTCTGACAGGACGGGAGTGGACGAGGAAGTGGAATCAGCCAATGAGGCAGTGCTATTGTCCATGCTCCTGTTCCAGGTGCTCCGATTGGGCGTTGACGGGAAAGAAGGCGTGGAGCAGTTGGACGGCGGGCCCGACCCCGAGCTGGGGCTGGAGCTGCTGTGATTGGAGAGGGGCGAGAACAGGGCGTCCTGTCGGAGACCTTTGTTCTGGAGCTCCAACTGTAGGTGTTGGCAGATTTCCTCCGGTAGTCGCCGATGCTCTTCCTCCAGTTCCCTCTCCAACTGAGCCTTCAGCTGGACAGGAAACACCAGGAAGATATGAAGAAATGTTCAAGTGTTCAAGTAACAGTTGGCAATTTCAGGAAATTCACTTCATTTGTTTTCTTGCCAAGAGTTAGACACATACTTGTACCGACATGAGAGTGGTATCAATCTTCTCATCTCATCTAGGTAGGACTAGAAAAGTTTTTCACTTCTCCTCCTTTTCGAGCATATATATATATATATACATATACATATATACACACACACATATATACATAAAGTAAAGTTAGTTTTACTTTTTACTGAGGCTGGCTGTTGCTATCTCATCAGCTAGCTTTAGCTTGGTGTGGCTCCAGCTGGCTGACAGAGAGAGCAGTAAGTGCAACAGTGGCGTGTTTTTGCTTTAGGGCAGAGTGGAGTACAACAGAACTGCTTCTGCCCTTGAATGGGTTAGTTTGTGTGTGAGTCAGTGTGCGCTGCCTCACCAGGGGAAGTTCCTCGTCTATGTGCTGCAGCAACTCCCGCTGCCTCAATATCAGCTTCTCCTGTCTCCTGCTCTGAGCCTCCTCCAGCTGCGGTGCGAGGAAAGAGAGGTGACAGGAGAGGAAGATTTGGGAAGGAGGTAAGAGAGGATGGGAGGAAAATTTGAGGAAAATGTGGGGGGAGAAGGAGGAAAGCAGGGAAGAAGAAACAATACAAGAAGAGAAGAATTGAGGGTTTTAAGTGAAAACAGCAAAAAAACAGAAATTATACAGATGAGGGAAGGAAGGATGGCAACATTGGATTAGGAGGCAAAAAGATAGGCAAGTAAGAGAGGAAGGGAAAAGAAGATAATGTGAGAGAAGAGTGGAGTAAAGTTGATGACAACAGCAGAAAAATGTACTATAAAGTAGATAAATGGACATTCTCAAGGACTGCTGGTGATAAGAGTGCATGCGCTAATGTGGACTCTTACCCCGCGGATTAAGGCGACAGAATCTTGAATATGTTTCCTGTTGATCTCATTCAGCTCCCTACAGAGTGAGACAGGAAGATGAAGAGAAAAAGGTCTGACCGCCCAAATATCCAATAATCATATCAACGTCTGTGCATGAACACAGAAACAAGTTTATTACGTTTCAGCCTTGTCTTTGTCGCGGGTCTTGGCTTCGCTGATGCTGTTTTGTCGCTTCCTGTCCAGGATCTTCTGGAGCTCTTTCTTCTCCCTGCAGATGCAGTTACACATCAGCATTACATCCAAAGAAAGAGCAAGATTTAGAGAAACATTTTATATTTTTGTAGATGTTATTGAAAAAACCCAGATGCTTGTGGTGAATCCAATGTCTGGGAAAAAAGGGACAAAGGCCGTTTTAAAATCTATAGAACCGTCACTGTGACATAAACTAATGCAGAAAGTCATTTTGGGGTCCAAGTTCCTCTTCTCCAAACTATTGCAAGTTGAAACAGCCACACTTACTTCTCACACAGCTCCTTGAGCTTCTTCAGCTGAACTGCTTGGCATTCATGGGCCGTCTCCTTTAACTTCTGAAAGGCCTAAAAACACACCACAGCAGACGACCACCTGTCAGAGAATCACTGTGCAGATGTACAGAGGTCCCACAAAGTTTCTTGGAGGTCACTTAGAGATGATCTCTGTGTTAATGTGTGTGTGTGTGTGTGTGTGTGTGTGTGTGTGTGTGTGTGTGTGTGTGTGTGTGTGTGTGTGTATTTAAGAATTCACAGGAGGAAGCCGAATGTTGTTCCAAGTGTCACCTTGACTGTGCATAAGTGTGCAAAGACTGGGGTGTGCGTTGTTGTTACCTCTTGTAGGTGTATTTGTTGCTTCTCTTTCTCCAGTGAGTGAAGCTCTTGTCGAAGTTTCAGCAGCTCCTGCATCTGCCATTCCCTCAGCTGGACCGTCTGCTTCTCCAGCTCCTGATCCAACGCTGTCAGCTCGCGCTGCACCGGCTCCTGGGGCTCGCTGAGCACACACGCACACACATGCACACACACACACGGGCACACACACAATGACACAGATAATTAGGCCAGGTGCAACTCCAACACAAGTGTGTATTTAAAAGACCTTCTCGCCCTCTGTCATCAGCTTTTTCTTCCTCTTCTGAAGTCTATTACCTTAGTCTACCTATTTCCATCATCATCATCATCATTCTATCCAGGTATTTTATAAGATTAGTTTTCCTCATTTCCTCCTCCCGCATCAATTGATATTTACATTTATTTATACTCCCCATATATCCATCCATCCTTACTTTTTCTTGATGCTAAGTTTGAGATGTTTCTCCATCCTACTGCGTCTCCTCTGGGAGTCAGATTGAAGCTGGCTACTCCGATTCTTCTGCTCCTTACTCTGCTTCCACACCTGTGTAAACACACACACACACACACACACACACACACACACACAGACACACACACACACAGACACACACACCAATTTGTTTTGTGGCACACAAGCAAAAGAAATAATATCAGTGTTTCCGTTCTGTTAGATATCTGCCTGTGTGTGTGTGTGTGTGTGTGTGTGTTTGTTTGTACCTTCTTGAGGTGTTTCTTGCGCATGTCTTTGAGCTCTTTGCTCTGTTTCTTCAGCAGCTTCATATAACTCTTCTGCTGCTTCAGCTCCTCTATAGAGTGGACCTGGACGTCTGAGGGACAGACACACACACACACACAGAATTATAGCAAATCGCCAGTGCAAATCTTCAGGTCAACCAGCCACTTAAAAAATGACAGAAGACATTTTCTACATGCAGCTCGATACTGTATGTGACACACAAGTCATTTCACTCATTTCTGTGTGGAAACAGATGCGCTGGGATGACCTTACCTGTCAGAACAGTGGCTATTAGGTCCTCCTTCTGACTTTGTGCTACACACGCGCACACGCGCACACACGCACACACACACACAAATACATACAGTAGGATAAGCACACAGACAGTATGCATGAAATGGATGAAGGAACATTTAAAAAAATTCAATGAAATACTAAAATCCCTCATGAAAACCTGGCATTTTGGGAGATGAATATTGTGTCACTTGTTTCTAGTGAAAAATATTTAAAAAAAATGCTCATAGTTTTCACACACCACACAAAATCATTGCATTAAAAAGATGACAGACATGGACATTTTACTGGAAAGTGTCTGATTATGTATTCATTTAGGATAACAAGTGAGGATTAATGCAGATAAATGACAGGTGTAGGTATTCATAAAGTATTCACACGTGTTACACGTAGACATTAAGACAATGTTTGTGGCAGCTTGTGGATGTGTCTACCTGGTGGGGCTAATTTCATCTCACTGGCTTCATCCAATGGGTAGGGAGGGGGGTTGTGGAAGGGGGAGGGATGTCGAACTCCTGGAATGATGTCACTCTCTTTCTTGGTCTCGCCATTGTTGGGCTGGTCGGGGACATGCTGCAACAAAAGCATCAGACAACGCATAGTGAATAACTAACTACCGACTCAGTGGAGTATAGTTATTTCAAAAATGGGGGAGTGTGGGAAACGTTTGGGTCACAGATGCGGCTCACCTCACTGTTGTCCTCGAGGAGAACAGCCAGCTGTGTCTCTCTCTTGTGCAGCTGACTGATATGCTTAATGGGGTTGGTCAGAGCCTCTGCGTACTCTGAGAATAAACAGACACAAAACAAAACAAAGAGTATCTTAATGTCATGGATACCATCAGGTTCATACTTCATAACAAGTTGTCAGTGTTAGTAAAGACCAGAGTCACATCTATTGAAGCCTTGAGCCTGTCAGAGCAAGCATCAAGTGTTCAAGTACATCGCAAAATGAAAGTGCGGGACTCCTTCAGCTCGCCTTTTCATGGCAGTGCGCTGGTTGGTGAGGCTGCAACTTGTCGTTTTTACACAGATTTTGTGCCTAATAATCAAAGTAGATTAATGGTGTTAATGAGCTTTAGACGAACTGGCAGGTGAATGTTAATACTGCTGGACAGAGGTTAGCCGTTTCCCCCTGTTCACAGTCTATGTGCTAAGCTAAGCTAACCGGCTGTTTCATATTTACCATACAGACATGAGCGTGGTATTGATCTTGGCTTCATAAGATTCCATTTAGCCAATCTGCAAATTATTTCAACTGTTTATCCATTACTTTTAAACTAAATAAATAAATAATTAATCAAACATTAAAAAACATAACGGATAAGCAGTTGAAATAGACAGATAAAGGTAATAGTATTTCCCAAACTATTGTTTAATGGTGGGAAGTTTACAGTAAGTCCAGACTGAGTTAAGTAAAGCGGCCTAAGTGGGTCGTGCGCTGTTGTTAATGTGGTGTTCTTACCCTGGTGTTCATTGGGGATGTAGTCCTGGGCCTCAGTGTAAACCAGCAGGGAGGACAGGAGCAGGGACTGGTTCAGCTCAGTCTTCAGGTTGATGTAGTGGTAGCCTGGAAGGAAGGAAGAAACATATGAATGAATGACTCCTGCAGAGTGGTGCTGGGTACTAGGTACAGCAACATGTAAATGAATGGAGGTTTCCACTGAGTGTTGACATGCAGTGCATCAGTGGTTGGTTCTTCTTCAACTTAAAAAAAAATGGACCTCTCTAAATGCTTAAAAGTACGAGTGTGTTTATGAGTGTTTGTGTGTGGTTGTGTACTGACCAGGTCTAATAGCCGACACGGGAAGGATGCGGTGGCCAATGAATTTGCCGTTTTCTTCAAACACTGCTATCCTCAGAGAGGCCAGGGTGGGGAGGACCACCTGGAGAGAGAGGTGGTAATGTTCACGCCACATTTATGTCCATTTAACAACAGAAAATGATGTGAGAAAGACAGCGTTACCTTATTGAAGACAAACATTTCATCATCCCACACGGGGTCCAGAGAGTTCCCATTAGATGTTTTGGTTCTGTACTTCCTCTTTGTATCAGCGGGAAGTCCGAATATGTCCACTTCTACATACACGCCCACCTTTTTGTCTGTCAGGAACTGGCCTGAGATCACCTAGTGGAATTTAAATGATACATGTTTATTATGGCAACTTTTGCAAACGTCCAAACGATCCCTTTAAACACACAGTTACACACATCAAGCGCGCTTTGCTCTCACCCTGATTTTGACTGTATTGGCGACGATCCCGTCCACTATGTTCTCCGTAAAAGGGTCAAAGTGTTTGTCCGTCCTCCTCATGAACTCTGGTTTCAGCAGGTAGCCGCTGCGGCCGTTGTACTCAAACACCCCCACGTTGAGCTGCATAGGAAGGTCTGGGAGAGAGGAATGAAGGGATGAAGAAGAGAGGGGGAGAAAGAGGGATGAGAATACGATAGAGGAGGGTGCGAGAACGCCAATAAAAAAGAGGAATGGAGGGATTTAGAGAGATAAAGATGAGTTGAGAAGCTTTAAGTTGGCCTCTCTGAGTGTTAAATTATTTATAAGGCTGAGGAGACTTTATATTATCATTATTTACCACAGCATCTGCCAGCTTTAGAAAGCCAGACTGTTCATTATAAAGACCCTGTTTATGTTTCTTGGAATTCAATCAGATAGTTGATCTAAAAGCAATTTAAAAATGAAAACTGGGAAAGAGAAACACGGTGGAACAAGTCTGTTTATCATTTTATGTAATGTGGGAGTGTTCTGAAAATATAAAAGGAAAACACAGACAAGTGAAATATTTATACTTAGCACAAACATTTAAAAGATCCTGTGGATATTTAAAGCTACACTGTTCACCAAACTGCTGAGGCCGTCTAGTTCCTTGCTGTCTGAGAATAAAATAACAGGACTTACCAAGAGTCTGAAAGTTAAGCGCCACCATCTGGCAACCGACGTTCCAGAAGAGCTGAGGCATGTAGTTGGAGCTGTCCACCCTCGTGCCTTTAGGGTAGATTCGGCTCAGCTGGTTCTTATTGTACCTAGAGGAGTGCTGTTAAGGAATCACGCTGAGCATAGATGTAGGGTGGCGTTGTGTCTGCCCACATGGTTTCTTACAACTTGGAAATTGCAGCAGATAAAAGGCAAACATCACTTTTCCAGATTTTTAGGTCAGAGGTCAAGACTAGAGGTCACCTGCCTGCGTCCTGATTATCCACATACACACAAGCTGTATCCCCCAGGTTCTCACTTAATCACAAGCCTCCAAGGATACTCGACAAACTCGATAGGTGAGCTCTTCAGGGTGTCCATGCCTTTGGTTTCCACAAATGATGACATCTCAAAGAACTTCTTCCTCTCTGGAGGACGAAGAGAGGAGAGAAAATGAAGAAAAGAAAGAGTGGAGATGTGATTAAAAAACATGAGAAAGATTGACAGGCAAGATCAACACAGGTACAGGGATTGATTAAGATCATTTATGTGCGACAAGACGGATCATTAACCAAAAACGAGTCCATGCAGGCAACCTGTCCGACTAATGAGCTCCACACAAGAGTCGTTTAGAGCTAACAAGGCTGCAAGGTCTTCGTCTCTCTCTGCGTCACTCCCACACACACTTACTGGTTGCCACCTCGAAGCTCTTGAATTTGACAGGTTCGATGTAGTTGACGAGAGTTGACATTTCCTCTGTAGCGTTCACCTCACTGCTGGCTGTACCCTGAGGGAGGCATATACTACTGATCCATCAATCAGTCCATCAGCCAGTCAAACATTATGAGTGCTGCTCCTGATGCGTCTTACCTCATCAGTGTTTGGCTTTTTCAGATCTGTCACTGCTTCATCCTCCTCATCCTCCTCGCTTTCTCCCTCACCTCCTGGATGGATGTGACAAAAACAAATAATACAAAATCAGCCGCGCACTTGCAGCCTCTGTAAACCATCCAGTCCATTCTTCTTCTTCAACCCACCGAGGGATTTGCGAGGCTCCAAGTCTTTGACCATCCTCTCAGCCAGCTTCTCCTCCCCGTTGGACAGGAGCTGGCTCCCCTCAATGTCTGTCAGAGGACAGTCTACAACAAACACAGCACATCGATGTGTAGTAGCTATATATAGTCGAACTTTACAGATTTTCATTCCTCCAAACAGAAGCTGATTTTTACCAGTTATTACAACCAGAGAAGTGGAACCTACCGTTGTTGGGCGACGACTGCTCCTCCAGCTCTCTGCGTCGTATGCTGCCGCCACTCGAGGGCCGGTGGTGGTGGTGCTTCTTCTTGTTTTTAATGAGAATCTTCCCCAGCATCTCCTGAGGTGATGGGAGAGCCTGGCCGGGGACCAGCTAAAGCCACGTAGGAGATACAGTAGAAAACAGATTTTGAAAAAGAGGAACAATAAAGTAGATCTTTAATGGTAAGAGAGCTGAGCAGGGACAGGTCAGCAACTCTGGAATGTGACAAGAACATTAGAAACCTTTGAACAGAAGAGATCAAGGGATGAAAGAAAAAGCACGGACTGACAGAGGAACAACTTGTTTTGGTCTATGAGTAATCATGAGGCCCTGTGATAAAGGTCACAGTAGATGTGCAGACTAGCAGCCACAACATATTATCCAAATTTAATACTGCGACATCACAGGATCACAGGACTCACAGAACCACAGTGTTTCATAAATCTAAATAAACACAACCCAAACTCATTCCAAATCAACAACAACTTTGCTGTTTTTTTAAAACTGTGAATGATTGTGTTTAGTTTAACAGTCGTCTCGCTCGCCCACATGGAGGATGACTCCTGAAACACGAAGATATAATTGCTTCAGACACAAAACAGCACGTCTTGTACATGTGCCCACAAATCTCTATTTAGCCCGTGTATCCAAGCTCTAAACACTAGAGTGAAACATATATGTCCCGTCACATCATGACATGTTACATCAATCCCCTGTCACCAGTAGAAATTAAAGTATCTATTAAACTGTCTCAGAGCCGTGACACTCAGTCTGGGACATCGGTCAGGTTGATGAGCCTTTTATTTCATGAACTTTGTTTTGTGCTGTGAGGTGAAACACTGTGCTTCACATGTTGTGTTTTGGTATAAAAGGATCAAGATCATAAGCCAATCTGCATATCACACGCAGTTTGATTTTATTTGATGGTGGTAAGTTGGTTAACGCCATGACTGTGGAGTAAAAGGATATTAGTGTGTAGTGAATCTTCTTTGAGCAAGGGCAGTGAGAATCACTCTAAATGCGTGTAATGCAGACTAAAATCAGTTGTAAATGGTATTTACATTAATAAAGTATAAAGTATATTGAAAGTGAAGTATAACACAGGATCTGTCTTACCGGATATTTCTCCAGTGGATCAATGAGCAGAGCGTCTCCAAAGATGGTCCTGCAGTATTCTGCCATCTTGGCCTGCTGCTTGGCTCTGACAGGACAACACACATGTTAGTTCCTGATTTTCTCTGAACTGCCAAAATGAGACACGTCAGTTAAACTACACTCATCAACTGCCATTGTAACGTCACGTTTTCAAGAAAACATTTCATCAAAAGCTTTGAATTTTAGCATCTGGTCTGGTTATCAGTACATCAGACTAAACTGCAAACTGTAAAAAGTAATGGATGAACCAAAATACACAAGTCTGGAGCAAACTAGTTGATCTGAATCCATGCACATACACACTGACGTGACTTACGAATCTACGTGGTTTTCAAAGGAAAGGATGACGGGGTACGGCGAGGTCTTGAACGCACTCTCTGCTATCGCTTCAATCACCTCCTGCAGTCGTGGAGAGAATCAGACAATTAAAAACTGAATTAAATTTCTCATTGAAATGAACATTTCCTCAGATTGTTGGGCACTTCATGAGTGCCGATAACCAAAATATACAAACTCATAGCTTATGAATTGATCAGCAGAACTTTGCATTGTTCATACAGTTATAAAACAAGGGGTTGTTAACTTTCTGTGATAGACGGTGGAAGTGTAATTATCTGAATAAAACGCCAACATACTCCACAGAGTTTTGTTTCAATTTAACAGTCTGTGGTCGCTGCCTTCACATCCAGTATCTCTGCATAAAGAATTTGCAGCACACAGCAAATTTCTGTATATATTTTTATATTTTCAGAGAAATTGCTTGTCAGGGCTTTTTAATGTGTATATAAAAGTCAATAAACAATCAACTAAATTTAAAGAGTAGGCATAAAAATAAGATGAAATCTGTGATTTACTGAATCATTTTTATACAGTATGGTGCCAGAGATAAGATAAAAAAAATAAAAAGACATTTACATAAAGGGAAAACTCACATAAACATTTCATACCCTTAGTAAACACCCCGAGTAAATGTTACATCAGAGCAAGAACCTAAACAAACTCAACCTGATCAAGCCGTCAAAACATAGTGACTCCCACCTTGAAGGGGATCTCGGTGGTCATGGTGAACCCGTGGGTGATGTAGGGCTCCTCATCTTGCGGTCGACCCTTCCAGCAGTCCAGCTCGACGCAGCGACAGCCGGTCAGAAGCACCTGCCTGTACATCTCCACTGAGGATAGACCAGTCAGCTGACCCACTGAGAGCGGAAACACAAACGGGAGGGAAAGGTGGTTTCACATCCAAAAGATTAAGTATAAAGCTATATACCACTATGTGTGTCATTAGATGTGATGTACGTGTGTTGTGTGAGTGCGCATTTACCTGTGAGGTATGTGTTGTGTGAGGAGTTGATAAAGTAGTGAGACAACGGTTGGTTCATATCGTCGATGATGTCCAGCCTCTCCGGAGGCACGATGCTGTTTTCCTCTCCTCCCAGGTACCGACTGAAAGCCTGTAAACTGATCTGGTCTGCAGGAGAGACGGAGGGGACAGAGCTCACATACTTCAATAATAAAACAGTCAAACTGGTTTCTGACAGCTGGTTCAATTGGTCTGACCAGCATCCATTTGCTGAATGACTGATTTGATTTGAGGGGCAAAGACTGGAAGACGATCAAATGAATTTACGTCATCTGATCTAACAGACAGTAAGAAAGCTCCTGTTTTTAGGACAGACAGTCAACAGACTCGGAGGGCAGCTTCAGGTTGGGTCTGTGCGCTGGATAGTGGATCATCTTACAGATTTTGGCTTAACTGTGTCCTCGCAGAGCTGCCTACGGTTGCCATGGCTCCAATTCTCCCCAAGTTTTGTACATTTTTATCAACAGATGACATGTAGAGGGACAATTAATCAGATTTGTGAATGACTCCCACATTCTGGATGTTTTACAACAGATGCAAAGTGGGAAACAGCCTTGGTCAGTCCATGGCCTAGATTTTTAGAAGAGAGCGACCTCTGCTCCTCGTTGCTGTAATAAAAGTCAAGGATTTAATGATACCTATAAACCTGTAATTATCTAACGGACCGCTGCTGGTGCTGCTGATAAACCTCACTTCAGGACAAACAGATACAATCGACAAGACGACACAGCAACATGTACTTAAAATTATTGTTATCTAGCAAAATGACATGATTTAATTAGTCTGGAGTCTTCTTAAGGCTAAGGTTATTTGAGGAGGTCCTGGTCACTTCCTTAGAGAGAACCGGATGATCTTTTGGGATCACAATGAAGGCAAAAGAACCAGAAACTGATTCTTATCTGCAATAATTCAGAGCAAATGAAATCCACATGTTTTAAACTGCTCTGGATATGAGCATATAAATGCCTGAAATGTAAATAGAAAGATGACTTTAAGCAAAACGCACACACACACGGTTACTAACCCCTCTCCAACTGGCTGGTGTTGGTCTCATATTTCTCCATGATCTGTCGGACCTGCTCTCTTTTCAGCGGGGGGTACAGCACCTCGTTCAGTCTGGAGTCTCGCTGCCTGCGGTTGATGAAGTCCATGAGCTGGTCCAGAGAGATGAACGGTTTCCTTTTGGAGCCACTGGAGCAAAGAGAGAAGTGTATTGAAAAGAGTGTGTGTGTGTATAGGCTGCAAGTATCACTGAGAAACTTAAAAATAAAAGTCATCATGAAAGGACTGAAGGTGGAGGTCAAAATTTTATTCTGGCAAAAGGGAATGGGAAAAAAACTAAATGGAAAATCTCAGCATGTGTTTGTTAAAGCATTATTTATGCGTCACATACCTTTCCTCAAAGATGCTTTGTATCTCAGGCCGCAGACAGAGGCTGTCGAGAAACTTCTGGAAGGCCTCCCATGAGAAATCATCTGGCTTTATTCCCTCTGACTGCAGGAAGAGAACATAGAGGGCCATGTACAAAGGTAATGGAGGGAGAGAGAAAATGACCACACTGAGGATACAATGCAAAGTTTAACACATGTAAATGTTGGATCCAACACGCCACTGTGTCTGTGAAAATAATTCAGGTCTTCACTGCTGATCCCAAAGACATTAAACCCCTGCTTTGTTGCTGGATTTCCTCAAAAACAAGAGGGGCATTTTGCTGCTATTTCCTGTCTTCGTTTATAGACTTCTCATTTTTGTTAGATTTACAGATTTAAAGTCTCTGTGGGACAGTGAAGAGGTCGACACACTAACACAGAGGCATAGTAGCTGCAGAGACAGTTAGATCCTGTTGACAGTCAGTCAGCCTCTCAGCAGCCATCTGCCTTCAACTACAAGTTTTAAAAAAAACAAAAGACATACGTACACTAAAGTGTTAAGTATTGTAAAGGCTATAGGCTCTATTTGCTTTCTAAAGCGCCATGATTTTAGGTCGTGGCTCAGATCCTTCTCTTCCCACTGCGTGTCTTCTTCTATGTAACCAGCCGAGGGCGCAAGAGCTGAACAATATATGGAGAAATGCTGACAGTGCAGTTTGCACAATCTGGTCTCTTATTCTAAAAGAAATGTCTTGTGACTCCAAACTGATTTTTGGGAAAGATTGCAATGACTGATCAAAACACAAGAAACCTTGTTTTACCTACCAAACCACAGGCCTGTGGTACCTTACACTGCAAACACGAGCAAAGATTTTGACAATGCAGACGATGAAAAGCACAGAACTAATATTTTCATTGGACTCTCATGTTTGAAAGAATGAATGAAGTTATAAACCACCTTTGCTCTTTCTGGGAAGTCAAAACTTGGGAAAAACTGATTGTTCATTCTGATTTTCTTTTTTTGTGCTTAAAACTAATTAAATTCATCTTTTAGGAGTCTCAGTTTAAACAATGAACTTGTTTAAGGAACCAGATTTTACTGTTTTCCCCTGATCCTCAACTTTGACAGACAAGACAAAAATATCTGACCCTTGTTGACACATAAACCTGGTGAAAAGTATCAGTGAGGCCAGATATCAGTAGAGATAAGTTTGTCTTACATCCCACATCCCTATCAGATGAGCCCATCTCTCATGTTCCAAATGTGTTCAATTGAACAGATTGGATGTTATCATATTATTACCTTTTGTTTCATACAATTAAATATGTATTGATGTCAGTATCAATGTTCAGTTGCTTTAGTCAAGTGTGCATTTCAAGCTTAAAACTAGCTTAAAAAACAGTTTCAGCTGCTAATATGTTTATTCATTACTTAGTAAATAAAAATCCATTCATTCATTCATTCATTAGTTTTAGCTAACAATGTTAACTTCTCTGCTTGTTTGCTTACTAGCTTTTATGCAATCTCAGAGTCAACAAGTAGCTTTGAAGGAATAGAATGAGATTTTGTGAAATATGCTTATTTTTGCTTTCCTGCCAAAAGTTAGATGATAAGACTGATATCACATTTGTTAGTTAGCTTAGCATAGCACAAAGACTGGAAAAAGAGGGAAACAGTTAGCCTTTGTCAGTCTTAAGGTAGCCAGTGCCTCTAAAGCCCATGAACTAAGGTGTACAAAAATCAAAAATCAAAACTTGTCACTTTCGTTGGCAGTTAATTAAAATGCAATTTTCTCATTTTATTTTATTTTTTACCTGTCTTGCAAAGGCATTCAAGGAATGCTATGTAACACCCTAGAGTGAAAGACTATGAGTTGCATCTTTTTCGACCTGTTGTTGTCATGAATGAACCAACACAATACACACATATATCTTGAGTAGCTCTGTGGTCAGTGATTGCTTTAGATGATTACCCTGTTATTGACGAGAATGCACTGCTCCAGAGCCGTCTCCACTCTCTTTTTATCTGAAAACATCTTGAGAATACTGGAAGACAGAGAGAGTTTGGAGAGATAAGGGTAAGAGTTAAAACCTCTCATCATGCTGAGGATATCTCATCATAAAAATCAGGTCAAAAGAGTCTGAGAGGATCAGATTTGTATGAGTCAGCATCAAGTGTCAGACAGTGAATAGAGATAAATTAGAGGTGAACTTAAGAAGAGCCAAGAGAAAGTGAAAGAGAGACAGAGAAGAGGAAAAGAAAGAAGAAGTGAAGGGCACTGGTGTTTAAAATTCTGTATAGAGTTTAATAAGTGGTTGGTGTGCGTGTTTCTCACTTCTTCACTGGAATCTTCCCATCCTGATTCACCTGCAGCTTTAACTTAGTGTACCTGAAACAGACAGAAAACGTGAGCATAGAAAAATACTGATCCCAAATCTAACAGCTGCCTAAGGTCAAGATAAGGCACACAACGTCTTACGCTTTCAAGAGGAAGGTGTTCCGTGATGCATTCTGGGAAAGTATGTTTGTAGCCAAAGTGAACAGCTCATCAGTCCAAATCTGGAAACACAAACACACACACACACACACACACACAGAGGCAGGAATGAGAAGATAAAACAGGCTTGTTTGACTGTTCGTCTGATGTCAAAACTAAGTGAAACAGACACACACACACACACAGAGGAAATAATCCCTCTTTACAACTCCTAAACATGTACGCCTCTGTGTCAACATCGTAAATGGAGTAATCAGCATATGGCCTGAGGAAAGAAAGTCAACTAGAGGGGGGAAACAAGGAAGAAAGGACATGAAAGGAAGAAAATAAGGAAGGAAGAGAAAAAGGAAGAAATATAATATGCAAATATAAGTTAAATGAGTAGATTATAGAATAGTGGCTTCCATGGTTACCTTGGCTGTATCTTCCTGCATGGCCTGGAAGTTGAGGAAGGAGATGTTGACCAGGTCGTTGCCATGGACGACAGTTACCAGTTTCCCTTCTACATTGTCGCCCTTACCAAAGCCCAGCACCTCTCGCAGCTTCGGTTCCTTACACACACAAACACACACACACCGGTATTCTTATGTACGTTTTGGGACATTTTATTACACTGAATTTAAACATGACGCACACTCTTCATTGACCTTAACCTGGTTTGACTCGTGCATACGAATTCTACATCCTTCATTCTACATCCGATCTTCGCCCATCTCTCTGTCTCCTGAGAACAGTAAATGTGATGCATGTGGTGTAGCACTCTGATCTAATTAACCAAACGACTCTTTCCTCCCTTTTAGACGACTCTCTCTCTACCACCAAGTCGCTTGAACACTCAATGTCTCCCTATCAATTATGCATTCTCTCCATCACACCCTCTCTATCATGTCTCTCTTTCATTTCAATTAAATAAATTAACATGGATGACTGCCAGAGCAGTGTACAAAATGTACAGTGTCATTAAACAGCAAGCAAGAGTTTAAAGGATCCGTTTACCCAAAATGACTAAATAAAAAAAATTAAAAACATCAACAGCGACCTGTCTTTCCAGAAAATGTCTGTGTTACTGAAGACAATCCACAGGCCTCATTATGAAGAATTTTCTTTGGAACTACTTTCCACCAAACAAATCATCCTCGTAAAACTGTTGACAGTGTTCTTTGGATTTTCCAGAGTGACAGGAACCCCTGCTTCTGGATGTAAATGTTGCTTTTGAACTTTTTTTGAACCTGTATTAACTGACTGAAGACCAAAGAGCTGAAAATACAACAATGAAATATCATCATCTTACAAAAGCTGATATGGTGAACTTAGTGAACACTTGCTAATTTAAACAACCAGCAGTTATGAAACAACAACCCAACAACATATTCACTCTGATCTCTACCAGCTCCTGAGGGAAAAGTCTGGCTCTATAGCTGCTAAATGCTCCACTACCTCCATCAGCTCATCGCCAGTGTCTGTCTGCTGTTTACTGCTGGGCTGGCAGCATACAGTCAATTTATGAGAGCTTTTTTTCAGCTGTGGCTTTAAACAATGCTAATGAGAGCGGTGAAGTTGCACACCATACAACCAAAACAATGAGTTAAAGAGCTGAGGCTCAACATAACTGTTATGATCCATTGTGAATATAAAAATATTGATTATAGCAGCATAAAACTTATTTTTTAATGCTGTGAATATAGAAATAGTTGCATTTGGGTGGAGGCAGAAATCTCATCTGATAACCTGGGCAAACCAAAACCAAAGGGATCTGCAGAGCCAGATATCACTAGTGATAGGTGAGGGTTTTTTTTACTTGGGTAAATATGGTAAATTTTTTTGCCGTAGCTCTCCTGAATGCTGCCTTTTAACATTACTCAGCAGTTTACTCATAAACATTTCATCACCATATTACAGCCATAAAATTCACTTTTTACACAACACCCTTAAGTGTCAAACTGTCGCTACCTAAAGTCCTGAACATGCAGTTTTTCATACATAATAAAAGGCTTCTACCCTTTTATATGCTGACTGAAAGCAAAACAAGATTTTAGTGTTTATTCCTTTAATCACAGATTCATAAAATGTAATTAAAGTAATAATGTAAAAGCACTTTGTTATATCTTTTCCCAAACAAATCCACGAGCCTGCACTATGTCAACACATCCATGTTTGAACTGTTTACCACTAATGCGCGGCTTTATATCAGTGTCCCTGTCAGCCAGTTCTACGCTCTTACACAATGACTTCCTTGTCAACAGTCCCTGGTTATATCACTTCCTGTCTGACAGTCCATCTGTCAGCAGGCTCATTAGCACTCTGTCACCTTTGCACCATCAGCTGAGAGAGGAAACACACACATACAGTGGACACACACACATCTTTTGGTGACAGTGACACTTGAGCATTACATTGCTGGTCAGAGGACAAAGTTATCCACAGCAGGAGGTGACAGCTTCCGTCCCTCTGTCTCTCTCTCTCTCTCTCTCTCTCTCTCACACACACACACAAACAAACACACACACTACCAACCTTTGGTTGTTTGGCGTACTTTCCTGTTCTGGTGTCTCTGATGTTGCTGATGTCCAGAATCTCCACCTCCTAAAAGACAGATGACAGAAGATGTCATCACTTGTGGAGTAGAAGAGTTTGTGGAGGACAGAAAACCAGCATTAGCATTAGCAATCTCTACATTTATGAATATGTTACTAGGGCGTATTATTCATGTCCCTGGTGACAATAAAGGGAAGAGGAATAAGTGAGAGTATGCTCAGGGGAAGAGTGGGTCATTTCCTTTTTAAAAATCATACTGTACGTACACCATATTTTAGCCATGCTGTTGTAGGGATAGTAGTGTCAGTCAGTTGGTCCACCACTTTGGTCCTGACATAAATATCTCAGTAACATACATTCATGGTTCCAAGACCAGGTACTATTCAGACTTTGGTGATCCTGGTTTTTCTCTTTTTCGCACCACTATGAGGTTGATTTTGTGGTTTTAAGTGAAATGTCTCAACAATTATCGGATTGACTGCCATGAAATTTGTCACCGACCTTCATGTCCCGCTCAAGGTGAATTGTAATCACTGTGGTGATCACTAAACTTATAGCATCAGCATCAGGTGAAAATTTGACCAAATACCTACAAAACTAAGGACATTCCCACCGGCCTCAGGTGTACAGTTTGTCAAGTACTAATTGGCACGTTTGTTAAGATAGTCACCATGGTAACAGTATACAGTGCCTGCTAAACAGGTTAGCACTGTCATTATGAACATGTTAGCATGCTGATGTTGGCATTTTGCTCCAAGCACTGCTGACCTGAAATGCTAACTTCTTTAATGTTCTCATTATCATTACAGTGACACTGAAAAAGGTGAGCAGTTTACAGGTATGATAGCGTTAGCATTTAGCTCAAAAGCAACACTGTGCCTATGTACAGCTTCATGGAGCTGCTAGCGTGGCTGTAGATGTTTGAGTCTAATATATTTGTATGAGATAAAGACTGAGCTGGAGGCTATTTGCTCCAAACTTCAGATAATTTATGAAACATTTACAAAAAAAGGAACAGAGAACTTATAATGGGGGCAAGCATGTTTATGCAGCATGCTGGTGTGAGATGCCAGTTTTATGTTGATTTGTGTGAGAAGCAGAAAATGCCAGTGGAGTCTGTTTTTAGATGGATGGGCAAAGGAAGAAAAACTTGAATAAAAGTCTGTGTTGAAATTAATTCCTCAGGCTAAAACCTAATGCTCTGTCTAGCCTTTCTCCTCCCTCCATAAAATCCTCTTTTATTTATCTTTTATCAGACTTCCCTGGTTCTCTAGACATAAAACACAACCACTGACATATGAACTCTGTGTGTGTGTTTGTGTGAGTGTGTGTGAGACAGTTGAAAACAGACAGAGAAATAGTTGATATTTATAGAGAACATTTGGAGAACTCTGTGCACACACGCGTCTTTGGAGCAAATCTGCATGACTGATGCTGCAACAAAAATGTTCACACATGCAAACAAGCCAAAAAGACACACACACACACACACACACACACACACACACAGAAAACTGCCCGTTCAACCTATGAGGATAATGCTGTCTGGAAGTAGAGAGGAAGAGAGAGACAAAAATGGCAGGGATGGACAGGAGGTGTGGTGAGTGTGGTCATAAACCTAGCCATAAACACAGAGCAGGATGCACTGTAAATATTTGTTTAGCCCTGCACTCACTCCCTGAGCTGTCTTACTTCATCCATATCACTCATCTTCTATTTTCTTTCTCTCCTCATCTTCCTCTGCATCTCTGTGTGGCTTTGCTATGGGATTCAGTGCATCTTTAGGACATAATTAATTTTTTTTCATGTATCATAACATGTTTCATTAATGAAAAAGAAAACATTAAATGTTTACGTCCCTCTTCCTGTTATTCTTTATCTGAGTGTGACTGTTTGTCACTTTGTCAAACTTGTTTTATCCATGTTCTACCCATATTTTCTTTCCAAAAACAACAACAAAGACAAACTCATAAAGTCACTTTCCTTGGCTGAAGTATTGAAATTCACGCCTTCCTCATTCCTTCTTTCGTTATTTCACTCTAGCCGTGACGTCATCGCCCTGCAGGCGCTCTGCTCCCCTGGGGTTGGCGAGTAATAAAGGTCAGAAGTGTTGGACCAATTGCATTAAACTCTGTACTTTGATTGGCCTATCGAGAGTAACTTACTTCCTGGGGGAATAAAGTGCTTCTGGGTCTGAAGGACACACACACACACACACACACACACACACACACACACACACACACACACACACACACACACACACACACACACACACACACACCTCCTCTCCCACAGGCCGTGGTTTCATTCTGCTATTGCCATAGTGACTCCTTGGAGACCACAGTAATGAGACTACAACTTTGACTGTGGCCTGTGTGTGTGTGTGTTTGACAGTTAACATTTTCTCAGAGGCTAGTAATGTACAATATACTCACAGACACACACAGATGCAGCAATATGCACACAGGCATATCCTCGAAATGCAGGTCCTGACTTGTGAAACATCCTGACCCGTTGAGCAAGATAGGGTGTGTGTGTGTGTGTGTGTGTGTGTGTGTGTGTGTGTGTGGGGGGGGGGAAAAGCCTTGTCAGTCAGTGCACAGTAGATAGTGACACAGAAGTGTGAGCAATTCTTCATGAGCAAATCTTCACCCAAGACGAGAACAAATGTGTCAGCATGTGATCAGAAAAGTGTGTGAATGTGAAGTGGAATGTGTGTGTTTTTGCACATAGCTGTGTATCTGAGCACAGGGTGTGTGTGCATGTGTCCGTGTGAAGGTCGGTCATCACCGAGAGCACATTCCTAACATATTCCGGCCTTCTGCTCAGTTAGCGTGTGTGTATCTGTGTGTTTCACTGTGTAATATTTAGCTAGTCATGGCAGCTATAGCGCTCCATTCATCTCTCAGTGCAAAGCCCAAACACAACTCGCTCCATTTATCACTTCAGACTCGGCTGCAGGCTCATTATTGCTCCAAATGAGTCTGGGTGAGAGTTTTCCAGGAGTCACATCGTGATAAAGTGCTATAATTTACTTTAATTTACTGTTTTTGTGGACCAACTTTCCCTCAGCATGCCTCGTGGACTTCTGTCTCAGTTAGTGGTTTCCTACATTTCCCAGAATGCACTCCCACACCCCTTCTGCAGATTGTTGTGAACTTGTTGCACCAAGCTGTGGATTACAGGGACAGGTTAGCTGATAGAGGAGTTTTTCCAGCTGAGAAAAGCTGAGTCACACCCTTTGCTCGAAACAAAGTGCGTCTTGCTGCAGAGCATTCAGTTCTAACTGAGTCCAGAAGAAGTTCAGTCTCCCTCTTTGATTCTCAGAATGTGATATCAAAACCATCACTGCTGACGTTTCTACATTATTGAATTATTTAAATATACCACTCCTCTGATCCATTCAGACTGTTTTTGCAATTGCTGTTTCAAAGAATAAGAATGAACTGAGTCTTAATGACATAAAGACATTTCCAGTAATCAACATTCACCCAGTGTCTCTCACTCCTATAAGTTTGAGTACAGACGTTCACTGATTTGCACTGAAATTAAATAATAAATACCAGATGAGCACACTGAACATTTAATATTTAATAGCATTTAAAAGTGCCAGACGAGAGATAAAATGCTCCAACCTCTAGAAACATTAATCCCACCATTACACTCAAATGAATAGCTTTACATTTTGGCAGGTATCCTTATTCCCTTTCTTACTGAGTTAGATGAGACGATCGGTACTACTCTGATGTCTCTGCAGTAAATATGGAGCTGACGATTAGCTTGGCGTAAGATAAAGGCTGGAAACAGCCTGGCTCTGTCTAACGGTAACGAAAATTCACCCAAAAAAATTCCTGTAGGTTTCCACTAAACTATCTTGTTTGTTTAATCCATAGAAAAATCAAAGTGTAAAAACAGCAAGTTGAGATTTCCTTCCTCCCAGAGGTCACTGCACACCGCCAAGAAATAGTCCCACAAATACCCTCCTGGTAAAAATGCAACTCTTTATTTTTACACTTTGGTTTTTATATGGATTAAATAAACAAGATATGTAACATGTAATGTTGCGAGTGAGCTTGAGACGTGCTCCAGTCATGATACTGAGCTAACCGGCTGTTGGCTGTAGCCTCGTGTTTATCCGGATGAATCTTCTCATTTTACTCTACAAGAAAGTGAATAAGCGTATTTCCCAAAATGTTGGACCGTTGCTTTGGATAACAATTTCTCACACGGTATCTTCCAAAGTATCTAACTTGTTGTTGTTCAACAGTTTCGTGCATGGGTGGTTTTGATCCAGCAATTGTTATTAGGTTAGTCTATATTTAGGCACTAAACACAAGTACGGTAAATGTTACTGCACTTTGATTAGGCCTTCACTCACTAACTCTTTTCCTTCCTTCATTTCTTTGATTGACTTTCCACTTCCCCTCCTCCCTCCAGCCCTGCCACTCTACTCCATTCATTTTCCCAAGATTAGAAAAATATGAAAGGGCAACTAAACAATCAAGAGAGCACCACTCCTTTCCTGTGACGCGCCAGTGTATGTGTGTGTGTGTGTGTGTGTGTGTTTGAAAGATGACCGCAGCTAAATATGTCTTGAATGACCAATCACGGCACTTATCAAATGGCACATGATGACGGCATACAGAAAACTGATCCTTGTGAACAAACACACACACACACACACACACACACACACACACACACACACACACGGTGCCAGGACAGCATACGTCTCCACCCTGTACCACTTGGCTGTGACCCAACCGGCCAATCAGTGCAGAGGGGAAGAGAGGAGAGGAGAGGAGAGGGGAGGAGATGAGAGGAGAGGAGACGAGAGGAGAGGACTTTAAAGAACACAGAAACATCGTAGAACTAGAACAAAGAGAACTTCAAACTATTTTATGGCTGCGATGGGAGAGTTGGCAAGGTGTTTAGAGAAGGAGAAGGATGGAGACACTTAATACCCCTGTGAAGCATGGGATGCTCTATAACTCTGTCTCTGTCACCTCGTAATATTTCCTCTGTGTATATCAATAGGATGTCAC